TCTTTACATTAATGTATTGTATCCCTGCAATAATGTATTGAATCCCTGCAATAATGTATTGTAACCCTACAATATTGTATTGTATCCCTACATTAATGTATTGTATCCCTACAATATTGTATTGTATCCCTACATTAATGTATTGTATCCCTGCAAAAATGTATTAAATCCCTGCAATAATGTATTGTATCCCTACAATATTGTATTGTATCCCTACAATAATGTATTGTATCCCTGCAATAATGTATTGTATCCCTGCAATAATGTATTGTATCCTTGTAATAATGTATTGTATCCCTACATTAATGTATTGTATCCCTGCAATAATGTATTGTATCCTTGTAATAATGTATTGTATCCCTACATTAATGTATTGTATCCTTACATTAATGTATTGTATCCCTGCAATAATGTATTGAATCCCTGCAATAATGTATTGTATCCCTACAATATTGTATTGTATCCTTACATTAATGTATTGTATCCCTACAATATTGTATTGTATCCCTGCAATAATGTATTTTATCCCTACAATAATGTATTGTATACTTGCAATAATGTATTGTATCTCTGCAATAATGTATTGTATCCCTACAATAATGTATTGTATCCCTGCAATAATGTATTGTATCCCTGCAATAATGTATTGTATCTCTGCAATAATGTATTGTATCTCTGCAATAATGTATTGTATCCCTGCAATAATATATTGTATCCCTGCAATAATGTATTGTATTCCTGCAATAATGTATTGTATTCCTGCAATAATGTATTGTATCCCTGCAATAGTGTATTGTATCCCTGCAATAGTGTATTGTATCCCTGCATGAGTGTATTGTATCCTGGTAATAATGTATTGTATCCATGCAATAATGTATTGTATCCTTATAATACTGACATGCAGCGATAACATTTTACATGATTATGTCTATTCTATGATGTCTAAGGATCAGTCGCCCAAACTCCACTAACATGCGTCGGATTTTAAAGGTCACTGGACGGTACATGCTTTCAATAAATCTATTTTAATGGGAATTGTGTATCTTCTCTTATATCTGTTCCCATAGCAACATACACTGGATTTAAATATGGAAGATCTGAGCAGAGATCCCGAAGAGGTAAGATTGTTCCTCTAATGCGTCCTTCGCTACTAGAATGTCTCAGATGGAAGGTGATAATAGGGCAGTGTATCCACCACTGCAATGTACTGTCGCTTGTACACCAGTCTAACGTTTCTTCAATTAGCTAAGTTACAAATTATTAAAATTACATTGTGGCTATCCGGGTTGAACTGGATTCAGATGACCTGATTAAATAATACTGCAAGGAAATTTATATATATATCTAACGGACGTGTGACAATTATACCCACGTGATATAAAATTTGTATCAAACAAATGTCACACAATTCAAACAGAGACATTAGTGTGTATACATTCCCTATTGACAGTGCGTGTTTTCTGAATGTTATCATGTGCTAATCGGTGTTAATCTGAAAAACTGTTCTAAAAAACGTTTGTAGATTATGGAAAAAAATCATTTATGTTTTACACTACAGAATGAGAAGTCCGAGACCGATCCATTGGCGCAGTTCGAGGCAATTAAACCTGGATTTGTTTCCCAGTTATTGGATATCTGTCTGAAGATTCAGCCAAAGATATCATCAATTAAGTGCCCATTCTTGGCGCTTCACGGGGACGCTGATAAGGTTTGTGATCCGCAAGGATCCAGGATGTTGATGGAAAGAGCACAGAGTAGCGACAGAAAATTAGTGGTAAGAAAGTTGTTGGGATTAATTTGGAATGATTGTTTTTGGGGTAGAGGTGCCAGAGTAGTAAGGGAAATATATTCTATCAAGAAATTCTTGTAGAAGTAATTCATGCGACTCAAAGAAAATGTATTTACCTTAATAATGTATATACATGGAGTCTATACATTGTTAGCAGAATGACTGGTTAGTTTAGAGTTCAATACATTGCACTGACATTCGCAAGTGTGAATAATATAGTTTACGCCAGCAATGAGATATAACTGCACATTTTGTTTTTATTTAAGCTTTACCCGGGATACTATCACGATTTACACCGAGAACCACCACAGGAGGCAGCGTTGGTAATCAGAGATATTACGTCATGGATTGGAACAAGGTTACCAGAGAATCCGCCCAAACCAGATAACTGTAGACAATAAGAGCAGCAACGTGTAATTGTAATCGAGTCCCATAATCGACAATGAGATTACTATTAATTAGGAAAGTTGATTTATTAGTGGTTCATTTTACTATGATTAGAGTAATTGAAACTTATATTCCATTTTTGTGAGCATGTGATTATGAACAGTGCCCCCATACATAATGATGTCATCGTTGGTTATATATTTTAACCTATCAACTTGAAGATATTGTATTCTGATTTGAGTCCTTTGTGTGATTTGAATTGAGTTGCTGTCAAGACATCATTGAGTTAAACGCTGCATTCTTGACAGTGTTAATCACACAGGTCATCAATATTAATATTCTGGTTAAATATCTTCTCTGTAGAATAGGTATGTGCTAAGTATGTTCTAAAAGTTAAATATATCTATATATTACGTAAATATTATTTTAATTTATAGTCCGGCAGCATGTATTAGAGTAGTTGAAAACACTAAATTTAACAGAATCAGAATACAAGATATCTGACTTGTTATTCACTGTATTCATGTGTGGGTGTTTTTTTTGCCACGTGACTGAACTAGTTAGAAATCATTGTGGTGTTAAGTAGCCACCATTTACGGAAGTGCTGTAAAAACACAGTTATACATTAACTTCTATACACTATTTGCTCAATTTATTTGCACTTCTACTGGAGACGTGGTTCATGATCATTGCTTGTTGAAATAACCGCGATGATGGCCAAACTCGATGCATTTTGAAGAAAAGTCTGTTTGTAATTCTGATGTAATAAATAAAAATAACTCATCACAAATATGAATTTTCTATATAGGCGAGGCTTAAATAGATTTTCTATGTTTTGTATCTGTTATGAAATTCAATAGCGAATTAGAGAATAATTAACATAGTGAAATGAATATTACTATCGAATATATCATGAAGACCATACATTTCCATCGATTGTTTCCGTTATAAATGTTCATTAACTACAAATAGCAATGAACATCGACCTCACGCCGGTTTTTTTAGAGGCAGTACAAATAATGTAGAAGACGACTGTCCTGTGACCTATGTTTTGTTTTTTACCTGAATATACTTGGCTAAGCAAAAACATTTCATCAGATTCATTTCTTGAACGCCTGAAGTGTTCATCAAAGAAGCGAAATCTGTGTAACTATATTTGTTAATTTAGCATATAATAGTATATAATTATACAAAGTGTAATTTTTATGCAATAATCTTGCTTTTTCGCAAGGTAAATAATTGTATAATGGCTTGAAGAAAATGAATAAACTAATTTTCTGGTAAAACTCTTGCAATGTGTTGTTATTTTTTTTATCAGAATCGATACACGTGACCTTGATAACGACATTGATTGGTTGTAAATTTGTAATATTACATAAATTCTTGTGTTTTGTGTTGTTGAAGAAAGTCATATATTACGTCATCGTCGTCACAAACATGTGTATCTAGTGATCAAGTATCCGTCGATCAATTAATTACTCCCATAGCAAAGTAACTAGCTTTTAGACTATTAATGAGATTGTTCGTGTGGTAACATGTTAAACCCATTGCAGACCCCATGCACTGAAACTTGTTATAAACATATATTTCTTACAACAACGGTTTCGAACCTGTATTGTATTATAGATACAGCCTTGAGACTGGTGCACAAATGCACTATACAATGTACAAGATAATAACAACTCTCATTCACATGTGATCTTCGTGTGATTCGAGTCAATGCCCCCCGTGACCTCACTGCCGGAGATTGTGACGCAGTACCACGTATCAGCAACGGTCATATATTAAACGTACTTGTCGATGTGTATAAAAAAAATCACCGGATTCCTCAGTCGCCTGACACCGTTCACAAGTTTCGTCTACAATTCAAAGTCACAGTATCTCGTCAGAAGTGGGTCGGAATCCAGAGCAGGAAGACGCTGTGAAAAAAAACATCATGGCTACAAGTCCGCAGGGTATACCATACAAAGACCTTAAACACTTCGTCAATGTTGACGGGCAGTGTATCTACACAAGAGGCTGGGCCCCTTCCGATAACATAAAACTGAGGTAAGTTACTCAACCGACTGTATATATGTTACATGCAGCTCTGTTGTTAGCAGAAGATATGCGAGTAAAAAGTACATTCTAATCAACCCTTGGGTTATTCGACTCCCGATCTATCTGTATATATATATATATATATATATATATATATATATATATATATATATATATATATATATATATATATATAT